CCTGACTGTGCATCGAAGGCACCATTTTTCGATGTCTATGGCTGTTATATGTACGAGATTTTTTAGAGCTGTTGTATAGATAAAAGATTCTGGGCCTCTTCCGTTGAAAGGACTAATATTTGAACTGAGGTTGGTATTCAATATTAGGGCGAGTCATATAAAAAAGGTTTGGTTTTTTTTGATTGACTCTTGCTGTTCTTGCGAAATACAGTTGCGGTCAAAAGTCTTCACTAAAACGATTTGTTCGTGCTTTGTTTTTCCTTGCCTTGTCGGTCTCTCCAAATTTGGGTATGCTTTGCCTTCTACTTCTTTGGAATCTCTGAATTTCTAAGGATTCATAGCACTCGAAAGAAATTCTATGTTCACCCTTCAACACTTTTTTTGATGAATTGAATTTTTGAAAATCCGACTCGCGAGAAACCGCTTCGGCGAACACGGTCTGACCGTGTCTGTATGTTGATACTCTTTCGCCAATGTGTTGCGGGGCCCTGACGGTCCTTCTCAACGGATCGCAGAAGCGCTATGTGTTTCTTTTGCGGTCAAAATTGTTGGCGAAAGCGCGACGATGCGAGATCTTGAAAGAATTAAGCAGGGTGAGCTGGAAACTCACGTAGACTTCCATTATAAGGGTCTGAGTCGAAAAATCTTTCTGGGGCGATCTTCTGTAGACTGCGACTCGCAGCAAAGTATACAGTGGTGACAAAAAAAAAGTCACTTCACTCCACATTTCAGACATCATTAAACACTTTGCTGAAATCGAATCGACTGCGCCCAAATTATTATTAACACATTCACGACGACGCCCCTTTTCCACTTTTCGGTCGCGTGGGACGGACGCGATTTTGTGGGCGCCGCCGCCTCACCACATAACCGCAGATTTTGTTTTGTAAATGAACAAAAACATGAATGTCACAAAATAATTTCTGCAATGTCCAATGCGTAAAGATTATCTAAACATATAACAGTAGGATTTCGATCAGAACGACAAATAGTGGTTACGAAAAGAGAGCATTTATTCACTTTCCCCGTGAAGGAATTTAAAAGCATTTTACACTCGATTACGAGGTTTGCCCACCTATCTGTCCATTCCTAGCGCCTGGCAAGCGATTATCAGTTGGCAGCCCATATGGGCTGCCATCGTCCCAGGAGCGCATGTTGTTGGCAGCCCATATGGGCGGCCATCGGCGTGAATGTGTAAACATCACATTATGTTGAACTCTGAAATTACATGATAGTCAATCTACACCGACTTACATCAGAAGATTTTCCCACGGAGACATGTTCACGGTACGAGCTCAACGAGGTCGTCGAGGTACCATAGACATTTACGACGTCCTGAAACGCTGGTCAAAAGCGGTTTTGCACAGTCACAGCTAATGTCTCTGGGAAGCTATTCAACAGTTAATCCATTGAAGAAATTATGTAGCAGCTTCAGGTCGGAGCGATTACGGTAAGCCTCGTTGAGCTCGACGGTGACGGCAGATGACGTCATATTCTGAGACGGCGGGAGGAGCCAGCTGAAAAAGAGAGCCTGTTTCCGTTCACAAGGGAACACCTATAATATGTCGACCCTATCCGTTAATACTTCCATTGACGTCGTCAACCCTGTGCGACGAAAAGTTCCATGGTGTGCGCCATGGTCAAAGGTTCTCTTTTTTGGCCATCCCTGTGTGGCCATCTATCTAGCATGGTCATCTGTGGCGCTACCTCGTGTTGCGCCCACTGACTAGCTAACCGCTCGTTGCAGTTCTCTAGCCATTTAGCAGTTAGGGCGCTACCGTTGAAGATACAAATGTGAGTCGCATCAATGCGGAAATCACCGGGCAAAGGAGGAATCCCATTTCTCGGTTTCTGTGCTGATATCTTCTTCAATCCTGAACCGCTGACCACCTCTGCCTTGATTCTAATGGACTGCTTTCTGGCTTAGATTCCGCCTTCAAGCTTCTGCGACCTGATATCATGTACGCAAAAGGCTGATGCATGCGAAAAGAACATCTTCGTCTGATTTTTTATCCTCTTGGCATTTTTCTCTTTGTGGTCGATTTTTGCAACAGTCTTTTATGTGATATTATACATTATCGATTTCTGCATGATACTGACTATTTTTTGCATTGAGATATTCGTTCCTAGTTTAGTTACCCGTTTGAGGTGAATCGATAAACGGTCTATTCTAGTATTCGGGTGTAAACGGTAAAAGTCTACTCGTGTCACAGAAGCAGGTCTATACCGTCAGTTTCGGTAGATGTTTACCACTGCTGAGTTTACCATTACTTCCCAGGAATACAGCAAGGGATGCCTGTCAAAATATGGATGGCGGTAAAAGAAATGACGAGGAAAATAACAGTATTTGTCGAGGCTGGTGCACAAATTCTGCCAGCTGAGGCTTCAGATGTCTCTTGAAGTCGCTTCATTTGCTAATTGCGTAGACTCTAGTCATTACACAAGCAGTGCTTATAGTCTGTCATAGTTTGCGCTCTTCAGGCCATTAGCTTCTGGTAACTTTGTTTGTACAGTTGAATTTAGTCAACTTGTCAGTTTGTTTTTGCGGAGAACTATCTAGGGTATTCAAATGTTTTTTCCTGCGCTTTTGAAAGTTCTTCCCTGAGCTTTTGAACGGGAAGTCCGGTCGACGAAATTAGCCAAAGCGGCAACTGGCTCAGTATTATGTTCCATGAAACAAATGATTGATGTGACATGTACGCACCTCTTCTGAACCTTCCACAATCGCGTTGTCCAAAAAGGGGGTGCCATTCTTTCTTCAAATTTACTTTTTCCTCCAGAACTAGATGGTTAATCATCTTTTGTTTAATTTCCGTAGAAGTTTTGAACAAATGGTGGACATTTATAAGAAGTCGTGACTCGAAACTTGCTGCAGACCTTGCTGATTTTGCCCTTCTTAAGGCAATTTTTTCTTGACGTAATGTGCCTATTTTCAATAACGGCACACCTTATAGGCGCAGAATTTGCCTATGTGCTCACTAAAATAAACCGACAGACCATACATAGCAACTAGAGCAGAAACTGTTAAGTAAATTGTGGATCATACGGCTAGAGACGAGATGTTGTGTTGACGAACAATAATGCTCAGCTTCTCTCCAAATTCGGAACGTACGCCTTTTTGAAAAATCACGAACCGGAATAAACAAGGCATCCGTGGCAAAGTGCAGGATTGCCACTCCTGATTTCTTATGGAAACAGGGCTGGAGTTAAGTTCTCTTTTTGATAATTTTTTGACTCGAGCACGTCCGCAGTTCGCAACATTGAAATTCACTGTATTCGAAAGAAAAGTGCAAAATTAAAATGTCTATTTGGAATGGCAGTAACTTTCTGACATTAGTATATGACATTATGTAGGACCGTAGTACCTAGAGAAATTCCTGCTGTTTCTGACTCTGAAGTACAAATGATTTGTAAAGCACGACAGAAACACAACGCTTATCGGTTCGCATGAAAAACATTACTCCTTCTTTCTACCTAAATGAGCCCAACTGAACGCCCTTCGCTGAAGGTACTGAAATCTAGAGGTGAGGTGCCTGGCGAAGGTCGTTCCACCGTCATGTTAAAGGAATCCTTCGCGGAATTCTCCTATCTGTCTTGTCAGTTGTGATCACTGGAAACAGCACACAAAGTTTCACGCATGAAGATTAGGTTCCGTAAGAGAAACAAACGTCCAGAAACTACACACTTGGACATCGAAGGTAATTCGGGCGGAGCCAAAGGCGAGGCATGGAAAGCAGTTGTGTCGTATAGCGCGCGATTTCGGAGAGTAGGCAAAATCAATCGAATAGAATAGATAGAGTATAAGTGCGAGATGAGATGTAGGAAAGTTGAAGAGGCAGTGAAAAATCCTTTTTTTTTTTTTTTTTTCAGTGGACGCCGTCCATAGGACAAGTGGAAGCATACCCGTCGCCAGCATTTGTGAAAGAACGTCCGTAGGCGATTTGAACGCGTAGCAGCCATTTCGATTTTTCGAATTTTTGCACCAAAACAAAAGCAATATTTCTGTTCTTTTCATTCTAATGGTGGATAATGAGTCTCAAGCCAACGATTTATGGCTGAAATAGGTCATGGCTTTTTCCGTGAAGGATTCCTTCAAGTGTAGTTGTTTTTTTAAAGAGGGTTGTCCGAAGGTTGAAACACGGCAGTAGATAACTAAGGATCTATGATATTTCCTTGAACTATGTATTTTACTGTTCTGGTTTTTCTCTGACTCTATTTTTTGTTTTCTATGGCGTCTTTTTATACACAATTAATAACAATACAGATGTTCCTGACACATAGCCTGTATTCCGCCTGGTTCTTTCTCTGCAGATGCGGTTACGGCGAATCGGTGCAAGAATACGCGGGAAGTATCAGCCTCCACGTTACAGCCCTTATGCGCTGTGGAGCCATTTAAGGTTACGCGGTTCTTGAGATCTCCTGGAATTGTTCTATCATCATCAGCTCGCTAGACCCGAAAGCTGCTCCTGGCCGCATATTACGTTAACGCTCCATAAAATCTTCTCCTCCATACACTTGCAACTTTGCAAACATTGTTGACGCCCACGACGTGATTGAAGTAGCTTTAGGCGAGCTTTTATGTATATATCGCAACGGATCCATTCTCCATTGCACATCAGATATCCGATCGAAACGGGTTGTTTTCGTTTAATGAAAGAAGGTAGAAAAAGGCAGACGACTCTTTGGAGCCGCGATTTTTGCGGCACTTCTTATCGTGTTTTCCGGACTTTTCCAACCTGCTCCATGTGAAGCGACACCAAGAATAGAATAAGTCTGATTTAGTAGCGACCTTCTCAGCAGTTCTGAGCACATTTGGTTCTCTCGAATCCTCCGATAAATGCTACCAACATTCGACATTCAACGACTACCCTCGTCACCTTCGAGTCTCTCGCCATACCCATTGTTCCGTGAATTGAAATGACGTATTATGCTCACCAAACTTTACTCATTGAAGCTCTTTTTTTCTGAGCAGTGTTTTAGAAGGAAGCTGTGGCGGAAATATGGTAGAAGAATCACCACTGCTAATCGAGGACACTATGATGATAGATGGCCTTAAAATAGGCTTTTGCAGATACGGAAGTGGTCCAAAGATAGTGTTGTGCATTTGTGGAGCTGTCGGTGAGTTTTGGCTGACATGATGAATAACGGGCGATATCGCAACTTACGGGGGCATCCTCTAGGGATCAGCCTATGTAGGAGTGGGCAGGAACCGGTGCTAACTTAGTTGGGGGGGGGCACGCGGCGGCGCGGCAGTCTGCTCACCTGGGCTCTCTCGAGCGAGACAGTGTAAACTCGAACATTCCAGCTTTTCACGCATGTCAAGTGACTGCCCCCCCCCCACCCCCCTAGACTGCCTACACTCCCCCTGGCCCACGGATTTCCGAACATGCCAGGCGAGCAGACTGCCGCGCCGCCGCGTGCCCCCCCAACTAAGTTAGCACCGAACTTTTGTGGAAATGACAGTTGCTCACAAATCCTGGAGTCTCTCCTCCCCCTTTTGAACCTTATGGTTGGTCCTGGTAGTAACAAAAAAAAAAAAAAAGAGGGGGTTGTTTTACGGGCTGAACGCCCACCACCATACATGATGCCCCGTATCTTACATAGCGGCATGTGTCATGAATTATCAGTAGCGATATTTCAAGGTTAAGCTAACAAGAAGGATTGGCAGTTTCTGTCCTTAAGCACTTCGATCCGGACTTGGTCACAATAATTTGCATCGATCCTCCCGGTTATGGTACTTCACGACCTCCCGATCGTATTCAAGAAGTCAATCGATGTAAGAAAGATGCTGCATTCTGTCTGAAGTTAATGGAGGTCGTATAACTTCGTATAATGTATGCTATACGAAGGATTTTTGCGACCTCAAGCTCACTTGCCTTCACGGTGATGGGTTGGTCATGAAGAGACGAACAGCCATTGCACGGTTGCAGCTCAAGAGCTCAGAAACGTAGACCGTACATTTGGTATATTTACGCGACAAAATATTAAACGATCGAAAAAAATCCACGTCACGTGGACTGCAACCTCTTTGAAGTTGTGACTCAAGGACAACTCTTAGAAACAATAATAAAAAAGGATAAAGCATTTGCCGTTGATCAATCCCTTTTTGGGATGCGGCACGCATTCTACTTCCATTTGTACATTCGTAGTGGCGTTTGAATGCGATGTGGCCTATACAATGACTTGCGGGGCCAGCCGATGTACAAGTCAGTGTTTTTATCCTCCCAGACAAGTCTGGTACCAATTAACCGACCCCGGAGGGATGGAAGGCTTGGTTGGCCCGGGCGACTCACGACCCAGGATTTGATCCCCGGACCGCTCGCGTGGTAAGCGTGCCTTGCCACTATACCCTACTTATTGTTAGTAATAAGGTATTCGAATGACAAATATTTCAATGATTTTGAACTCAGGTGATCAAAATGGTTCTGCTGGCGTCCGGCTCACGCGTGACAAAACTCGGCGCTGCTGCGTTCTACGGTAAGTCGTTGCTTCCTTTGACAGCTTTTTGAACGCTCAATCCCTCACATTTTTGAATGTGAACGTAACTCTTTTCAGGGATGCGGAACACAGGACCACTGGTTGCCATCTGCTCGAGCTCCATATCTCGCTCATTACTCAGAAGATTACCTTCGAGTGCAGTGGGCAGGACTATGCGAAGTCGTCCAACAGTAGGTTACTTGTTAATAATGAAATTTTTTTGAATACTCGAAGACTATATACACGTAGGTTTAGCGCATTGTGAAAAAAAAACATTCAGAAAGGGAAATAGGTGATGTATACGGTGCTTTCGTGGGATACGTATTAGAAAAGAGGTCTTATGTAGCTAATCCACCGCAGCCGGCTACCGTAGGTTGCACCAGAGAGAAAGGTTTTATTTTTCAAATATTCTAGAAAAATCTCAGGCAAATGGCTCGCTAAACTGGTAACCGTTGGAAATGGAAATAAATGTGGTAAACGGTGCACTGAGCAGCCTTCCTTCCTTTGTGGGAAGATGGAGAACAACCGACAAGATCTATTCTATTGGGTTGATGCGTAATTATTGCGCCTTTTTTCAACAACTTTCATTCAGAAATGAGATATTTAACAAAAACATGATAAATGATTTCTGCTAGTCGGTCCCGATTCTACGGTAACGAGAAATTTCATCGATACTTTGGAGACTGTCTGCTCTGCATCAGCCACGAGATATCCAGTCGGACGTAGCTTTGGTTTCGTTATATAGATTTTCCAAGATGTTCCACAGTGCGCTCAGTTGCAGAGCTTTGTGTCGGTGAAATAAGCGTTTTGAATTCTTTAATCATCATTTTTGACTGGCTTGTGCTGATTAATCCTTGCCGATAAGTCCTGAGATCACTGATGACCTGCGCTTCAGCTTCTCGAATGGTGACATCATGTTGGCAAAATGAGATGGTTCTTCTATAAGCGTTTTGTAGTTCGAAGATAGAGAATTTTTCATGAAAAAATAATAAAACAAAAAACGGCGAAAAAAGACAGAAAAAGGTGATGGCAACAAACTTAGATCAACCAATACACAGACATACTGTATCATCACATGCAAAAGCGTAAAAAAAAAGGAAAACGACAGATTGCGCATATAATCCCGCTTATGCATCATGATCGTTCTTCAGAGAGATGGGTCTCAGTAGTTGCTCCAGAACGCGCCGCGTATTCAACATGGTCCATTGTATTGTGAATGGATCGATTGCTTTTTTTCAGATTTCATGGTCCCTATTCCATAGCGGCGCGTTAAATGACTCAACAATGTACATGACTGCGCTCAAAACTCCTCTCGTGTTCAAATGGAAATCATAGATCATTTTTCAGCAGGACAGTTAGCCTATTTGGTGAAATTTTCCAATGTTTGAGCGAAGGTTTTTCCGAAATCTGAGGAGGTAGCGGGGAAATTTCTTCACAGTTGTAGAGTACGCTTACTTGTGTGTAGGAATAAGATCACACACTTGCTTGCAGATGACCGCTCACTGCGTTATTATACTCACTGCTTGCGAAGGAACTGTTTGATAGTCGAAGGCTGTTGAAAACCTCTGCTGCTGCTGCTTACAACTAAGAATTGTGCTTTGTTTTTTAGTTTCTCTGTAGATATAGCATAGCGCAAACTTCACAAAAGTTTGAACACAACTCACTGTTTACCTGTTCTTGAACAAGCGAAAATATCTGCCGATTACAGAGTGTACGATTTTGCGGAGGTCGCTTTCCATGTGACTACGTTCTTCCGAAAATAACGGTGCCATCGTTGATCATGAATGGAGGACAAGACCGTTTTTGTTCCGATCCAAAAACGTGTTTCCTTTCTGTGCTCAAGAATGCAAGGTGAGCATGAATGACTGTGAAATTCACAAATAACAGGAACCTCTTACTAGGTTTTCCCATAATTAGTGAATCACTTTGGGTATTTTTCAATTTTAATTTTTTTCTTTTTTATCTGAATTTCTTGCTCATCCAAACATACACCTCTGTTATCTCAAGTATTGCCTACACATGGGGTTCCTTCGCTAGCTCTCCTATGGAATTCCATAAGGTTCTGAAGTAAGACCGGACACCAGACTCGATTATGTCACTTAGGGTGGAATTTCTTCCTAAAGAAAGAGCGCTAGAGCTCAGAAAAGGTTGCCTTTCGTTGGCACGAGGATAGTGCTACACACGGAAGTGAAAGAACTGCTAGCCTGAGAGTCTCCAATTTTTTATGAATATTCTCGCAAGGTGGGGTCGAACGACCTCAGAAAAAAGCAGACTTTGTCTTGCTTTACTTTCAATTGAACGCGTCGCCATTACGCTGTCTATGTTTCTCTTCTTAAAGGCAAACTCCGGGATAAAATGAGGGTGTTCTCTGTACAAATATGACGGGTGCTAACTGAATCAAACCTCAATAAAAAAGCAGGAATTACCCCGAAAAGGTCCAAAATAATGACCTCCTCTTCGTTAGTTACTTACAAGCCAGGGCTGGGAGGATTACGTGTCTGAACGTGTTCACAGCAGCTGCTGGCTCCATGCCAACAACCGACACGGCCATAAAAATCAGCAATGGAAATTGATTTCTTCTAATTTTTCTATTGTTTCTGCTTATTTCTGCTTTTGTTTGTTTTTCCCATTTTAAAAAATTATTCTTCTTAAATGAATTGCAAAGTTCCCGATAATGACCGTAACATAGACTTTGATGTTGAAGTTGGCAGTCGAAATCCGCAAAATATCCTCTACGACCTTCCAAACAACGGCTTGACATCTAGTGTTCCAAGCAGGGTGAATAACGGTCGAGGAAATCCTCGACAGGGGGTCGTATTTGCTCCGATGAGAGTTGGGAGGGGGTCGTAATCAAAAGGTTCATCAACGGACACAACGGTGCTGCTGCCACTTATTTGCTGTCATCATTAGTTTCACAAGTGTTGTAGTTAGCCTAATGCAAATAATATCTTACACCTGTCTGGAATTAAAATTCAAATGGAAAGTGTTGGTTTGTTGATCAGTATGATAGGAAGGCAACGCGTCCTGCAAAAGAATCGTAGGGGAAGGGCAGCAGCGAGTATCTACCTAGAATACCATGTCTTCGAGAACTAAGTGGGATGCCAAAGAAAGCTCGGAAAAAGTCCAACAGGAATGCAGCTTCTGCTCATCAATCTGAACCACAACGTGTAATCATACATCCACGGGTTGGAAGAGAAGCGATTTGATAGACTAAAAAAAAAAAAGAACAAAGGAATGATCAGACATCACTATGACTACCAAAGTTATCTAATTAGTTAATACTGGAAATATCTTTTGGTGTGCTTAAGCAAGTCGTCACTAGGACAAAACACCTTCCCAATGACTCCGAGTGGGGTCACTGCATGGCGCATACAAGAACGGAATGGATCTGCGCCAAGTGCATCATTTTCAATTTACTCCATCGAACTGACGTGTACAGAAGCATTTTGAAGGTGTTCAAAGAAGTTCCCTACTAAGGCGAGTGAATAGAGTTTTCAAGTGGCTTCGAAAATTTCCTTGACATTTCCTCGACGCAGATTTCTCGCGAACTAGAAAGCGATCGAAACAACTGGAGCACCTATCAGAAAGCGTAAATCTTCTACTTTACAACGCTTTCCTCCGATTTCAAAGCATTGCCAATGAAGACAGCTACTGTCTTCCAAAGAGTGGGAACTCGCATGTAATTTCAATTTCCTCGACAATTCCTCGACGTCTCCCACTCTCGAGAATAGGCGTGCTTAGAAAAACGCTCAGCACAATTTAGAAACTAGAAGTCTTGTGCATTCAAAAGCTGCCTTCACTTTTTGAAATGGTTATCAATGAAGAAAGTTATAGTCCTTTGACCCTTGACGACGTGTGCCCGCCCGTGGGCTCACACTTCACTTCGAGCGACCGTTTTTTCGTCATTTATTTGGCATTTTTGAGTGTTTCAAAGCTGGCTGTATACATTATTAACAAGCGCAAAACAATATGCTAGTTACTAGAAGTGAAAATTGTTTGAGTGTTAATGGATATTGACGAAAAAATTTAAAAAGAGTGAAGCAACGCACGGCTGCGCAAAGGGTTTAAATAGGGGGTACATTTGACGATTTTTCCAACTAGCGCGCTCTAGGCACAGCGCGCGACGCGATCGCGGGTAGTTAGCGCCGCTATACTGGAGCGCGAGACTGTTCAACTGTGTAGGGGCTGTACCTCCTTCAATGTTCTACTTTCCGGCCAATGTGGCAAAGGTTAAATGTCTTTAAAGGAAAGAAGGAGAACCTAATCTGAGCAGAATTGAATCTAGCATTTGGATCAAGCCGCATTTGCGTGGCAGCGGCGCTGCGTCCCTCTCGCACATTGAAACTAGCATTTTTTGAAACGAAACCGGATGTGCAGAGGACAAAAAGGGGATTTATCAGAGTCCATGTTTTGGAGGGGGGTCGTAAAGAGGCGGGTATTTCCCCGAAACGATTATCACCCTGGTTCCAAGTGTTGTTTGGAAGTGCGTGGAACAGTGGGCGGGCTCCGTGGGTGTGGCGGCGCCCATGCTCCAACCTAGTGCCTCGCAAATCCCGCCCGCAATTCTGCACATGGCCGCGCTCCGAATGTCGCATACAATACCGCCACTAACTTTTGAAATTTCTCCGCTGAGCGACGGATTTGCAGCGTCGCAAAGCGTCGCCCCTTCATAACTCCCCCCAAAGCGGGTCAAATGATTGGTGCTCTACACCATTGGACTCGTCTCTCTGTGGCGAGTCTAACCATGTGGAAAACTACGGTACTCGCCGTAAAAAATCGAAAAAAACACGCGAAAAACGCGAAATTCGCGTTTTTTTCGTTTTTTCGTTATAACTCGCTTCAGAATTAAGATTTTCGAAATCTGAAAAAAGCATTGATTTCAGCTCGTCGAGTTCTATAAGAATGTTTTTAAACTTTTGGAAAGCCCCACTTCAGATTGCGCCATGCACTCGAGCTTTGGCTCGAGAAAAAATTGTTTGAATGTGGTGCGCATATAATCCCGCTTATGCATCATGATCGTTCTTCAGAGAGATGGGTCTCAGCAGTTGCCCCAGAACGCGCCGCGTATTCAACATCGTCCATTGTATTGTGAATGGATCCGCTCCTTTTCCAGATTCATGGTCCCATCCTGGTGCACGCGTTGAATACGTAGTCCCTGCGCTCAACATCTCCTCCTCTCGTGTTCAAATGGAAATCATAGATCAATTCTCGGCTGGACAGTTAGCCTATCTGGTGAAATTTTCCAATGTTTGAGCGAAGGTTTTTCCGAAATCTGAGGAGGTAGCGGGGAAATTTCTTCTTAGTTATAAGTACGCTCGCCCCCTTACTTTGAGATAATAATCACAGTCACTGCTGCAGGAGAACCGCTTCCCTGCTGATGTGGCCATGAACATGCCTCCTCGTCATGCCCTAGCCTATTTGGTGAAATTTTCCAATGTTTGAGCGAAGGTTTTTCCGAAATCTGAAAAGGTAGCGGGGAACTCTTCAATGTTGTAGAGTAAGCCTGCGTGTGTGTAGGAATACTAGACATACTTGCTGTAGAGCTAATTCCACCGGTAGATTCCCGTGAAAAATTCTACCGAATGATATGCATTACTCCTCCCAGTTGAAACTTTGGTTTTTCACCGTTTTCAGCCTTCCCCTATTGCCGATTGGGCATCATTATTCCACTATTACTGCCCCAAAATCTCAAAGTTTCATTTTTCGTCGAAACTTTGCCTATTGGGGTAATTCGATGCCCTGATTACGAATATGACATTCATTCTCGTAGTGTGGCCCCAAACATCACACCTCGCCCCATTTTTTGCGACATGTTCCATGTTTAGAGCAGATGTTATGTAGAAAGCTGTGAAGGCAGCGACGAATTTCCTTTACTGTCGTAGACTACGGTCACTTGTCTGTAGGAATTACATAGAAACCTTGGTGGCAGGTGAGTCTTCCTTCCGTAGTGTGACCCCAAACATCACACCTCGTCATGCCCTTGCGATATGATCAGATTTTTTGGTTCTCCAGATGAACATAGAAGACTGAGATGTGCACCATTCAATTCCCCATAAAAAATACTGTCGAACGGTATACAACTCACTTTCTGGAGAACATCTAGTTTACCTGTCCACCACTAGATCCATTTTGTGACATTTCCCAATTTTCGAAGGGATGTTTTGAGGAAATTCGAGAAGGGAGGGACGAACTCTCTTCCCTATCGTAGAGTAAGTTTACTTGTATGTTGGAAAAAGATGATACACTCGGGCTTGAGCGAGTGTTTCTTCCCTGGTGTGGCCTCAAACATTGCTCTCTCAGTGTCCTGAAATGAACTCTCGTTTAACCGTTTCGGGGGGCCTTTTCCCTTATACGCCGATACCTTCCTCAGACACCCTGGCCACCCACGTCTATCACAAGTGCGCGGTGCGTGAGAGCTCACGTGACAGCCGATGGCCTTTCTCGGTAGCTGGCGGGCAGCCCGATCGATACACCGCTATGCGTGTCGAAAGTGCGTGGGAAAGTCATCACGCACCGCGCACGTGAATAGCACGTGGGTGGCCAGGGCTGAGGAAGGCGATCGGCGATAAGGAAAAGGCCGAAAACGGTGAAAAACGAAAGTTTCAAGTGGGAACTGAGATGTATATCGTTCGATAGCATTTTGCATGGAGAATCGAATGGTGTACACCACAGCTCCGTAGAGCCACCTGGAAGACCAAAAAAATCTGGTTTTTTCAGGGCATGACGGAGAGCGATGTTTGAGGCCACACCAGGGAAGAAACACTCGCTCAAGCCCGAGTGTATCATCTTTTTCCAACATACAAGTAAACTTACTCTACGATAGGGAAGAGAGTTCGTCCCTCCCTTCTCGAATTT